AGGCTTTCCCTCATTGTGGAGGGTGTCAATGATGGTTTTCTGCACAACTGTGAGGTCAGCAGTCTTCCCCATGATTGTGATTCCTACTGAACCAGACTGAGAGACCATTTAAAGGCTCGGAAACCCTTTGCAGGTGTTATGGCTTACTTAGCTGATTAGAGTGGGACACTGTGATCCTAGAATATTGCACCTTTTCACAAAATTCTAATTTACTGAGATTGTGGATTTTTTGGTTTTCATGAGCTGTAAGCCATAATCATTGCACTTATGACAAATCACGGCTTGAACTATCTTGCTTTGCATGTAATGCATCTATCTCATATATTAGTTTCCCCTTTTATGTTGCATTATTGAAATAAATGAACTTTTGCACGATAGTCTAATTTTTCGAGTATCACTTGTAAACCTCTGCCGTTTTATTTATCAGCTGGGTTTTTATACATTAAAAAGTAAGTGCTTGTGTCTATACAATGTTACCCCCTCCCCTTCTTCCTTTCTGTATCCCCCTTTTTTTTTGTCGCTGTCGCGACACCACAAAAAACTAATAAAAATTAAGATATTGAAAAAAAAAAAAAAAGTAAGTGCTTACGTGCAAATACTCATAGAACAGTAATAGGAAGGGAGCACAGATAAGACATAGGGATGAACGTCATGTACACATAACAAATAAGTTGCAAGAAAAAGAGAGAACGAATGATTAGAAAAGAGACCTCTCAGGTGGGGGCTCTCTGCTCCCGGAACTAGACATATATGGTCTTAAGTGTCGTGTTAAGCCTTTCCTGAGTGCAAGTTAGCCAATTTTAATATAGGATATCATTATATGACACCTATAAGCTTGAGCCTTGGAATCAAGATACATTTTATCACAGGGGTACATCATCTTAAATCATAAATAATAAGGTATATACAGTACTCAGTAAACTGTGATGTTTTGAAAATGAAATACAGTATATAACAAAAAAACACATTTTACAAAATCCTCCAACTACATTGAGCTAAATCTTTAAATCCAGTTGTCAAGTCAATGCGATTTAACCTTTATTTAAAAAAAAAAAATCCTTTTTATAAATTAAATAAATTTCCTGAATATCGCTCTAGCTAAAATTGTCTTTTTTCAAAATCACACATATACATGATGCATCTTTGAGATGCAGGGTGGTCTTTCTTGGAATTTAGTAACGAAAGCAAAAAGTAAACAAGCCGGGGTTCATTAAATACTTGTTTTTAGATGCAACATCTGTGTAGATATTTTACTTTAATCATTTTTCTCCTGTGTTTTATCATTGTTTCTCAGTATGAATCTGGTCTTCTTCTGCACCATAATGAGAAAAATGACTGATGCATAACTTGCCTTTTCCTAACTTTTGATCTAGTAACTCTGACCTTTAATCATTACACATCAATCTTTTAATACATAAAACAAACTTAGCTAGAAAAATTAAAGACACAGATGTTTTACTTTATATTAAAACCACGTACAAGAAAATTGATAGTTTATTTTGCCAAAGGAAAATACTCTAGAATTTTCAGAGTGTGATAAATGTTTGGAGAGATTAAATGCTACTTGTATTAACAATTTTTATCCCTATAAATGAAAAATGACTAGATAAAACCGTAACTGGGAAGTTGGTATATTGTGTACGTGGCATATAAATATCGAGAAATTTTTAAATCTATGGTGTCCTTCAGTGCTTCCTTGGGATAAAGAACATTATGTAGAAGTGTATTGAAACATTCCTTAACACTTAATGCAGATTTTGATTGTGCCATAATTTAAAATATTGTTTGCTAGTAATAACCCTCAATCTCTACATATCAGCTTCATTTCATGTTCTCCTGTTTAATTACTTATTGTTTTCATTAAAATTATGTCTTCAAATGATATATTTAAAGATTTCTACAAGGTCACTTCTAACCAATATCTTCTTCACTATGCATATTTTAAGGTTTTTCCTGTTTCCCTAGTCTGGATTGCTAACATGACCGTGTATGTTTCAATAAATATACATTGAAAGCAATTTTTAGAGACTTTTTAGTGTTGCTAATCTAAAGGCGAGACATGGACTCCACAAAACCTCTGAATGTGTCCTGTGATATCTGAAAAAAAGACATTAGCAGCAGATCTTTTAAGTCCTGTAAGTTGTGAGGTGGGGCCTTCATGGATGGAATTTGCTGTTCCAGCACATCCCACAGATGCTCAATCAGTTTAAGATCTGGGGAATTTGGAGGCCAAGGCAACATCTTAAAATCTTTGTCACATTCCTCATACTATTTTTCTGCTGAAAGAGGCCACTGACAGGAAATACCATTACCATGAAGGGGTGTATGTGGTCTGCAACAATCTCTAAGTAAGTGGTATGTGTCAAAAACATTCACATAAATGTCAGGAGTCAAGGTCTTCTTCATTGTACTGCCATCTCTTGATGCAAATGACAAACATGCACACGGCTATCAACCTGCTTCCAACATTTTCCCTGCTTCCAACACATGAAATTCTCAAATTGACTGCTTACTTATTATTATTATTATTATTATTATTGTTATTTATATAGCTCCAACTTATTCCACAATGCTTTACAAAATTATGAAAAGGGGAAATTTAACAATAGATTAGACAATTACAAAATATTATTTTTATAGTATTTTGAATTGACACCTATAGTGTAAGGATCGACAGAAGAGGGAGGTATGATAGAAGAGACAGAAGAGAAAGATCAGCCTGGTGACAGCATTCATTACATATTTTAGCAGGGCGTTACGTTTTTTGAGGAGAGAATTACATTAATCCATGTAAGATCACTTGCTGTCTAATACATCTCATCGACAGGTACAATTGTAACAATATTATAAATGTTATTCACTTCACCTGCTAGTGGCTTTAATGTTGTGGCTTATCAATGTATTTTTCATTGATTTCTAGTTATCTCTATAAATATACATCAAAGACTCTGTTATTAAAGGGACACTATAGTCACCAGAACAACTACAGCTTATTGAATTTGTTCTGGTGAGTAGAATCATTACCTTCAGACTTTTTGCTGTAAACACTGTCTTTTCAGAGAAAATGCAGTGTTTACATTACAGCCTAGGGATAACTTCACTGGCCACTCCTCAGACGGCTGTTAGAGCTCCTTCCTGGGTCATGGCTGCCTAAAATGCATCCAAACATTTAGTATCACCTCCCTCTGCATGCAGACACTGAACTTTCCACATAGAGATTCATTGATTCAATTCATCTCTATGAGGAGATGCTGATTGGTCAGGGCTGTGTTTGAATAATGCTGGCTCTGCCCCAGATCTGCCTCCCTGTCAGTCTCAGCCAATCCTATGGGGAAGCAGTGTGATTAGATCAGGCTACAACTTCTGATGTCAGCAGACTGCTTGTTTTTTTTTTTTTTAGGCAAACAGCATGCAGAGTTACAGCTTCAGGCTTGAATACAGTATGATTTTGCTATATTTATGGAGGCATGAGGGGCCCAGGGCAGCAAGATTTTTGTTTTTACACTATAGAGTCAGGAATACATGTTTGTGTTCCTGACCCTATAGTGATCCTTTAAGCTCACAGTTAAACTTTCCTGAATGTTCAAGGTTTTACAGACTTGGCATTCTAGACTTACTTTTGATTACACCACAAGAAGAAAAACATTTTAAAATACATCCAGCAACATGCAATAAAGTATTTTATTTTGTGTAAGAATGATTACTTCCCAATATTTTGGAAATATTGTAATTGTGTCTTGATAATCATGTGGTCTTTGTAATGTTGTAATTAAAATTATCTATGTGCATAGGATACACATATCCCTTATTCTGTGATCCATGAACTCTAAATTGTTTTAATATGTAAGAAAGCAAACCTATTGCAAACATACAGAAAGGTGGATTGATGGTTTAACAATTGTTCAGTTTTTACCAATGCTGTTTTCTATGGCAGATTCTATTCCACCACATGGTGAACAAAGCTAGAGGCTACAAAAGTTCTCTTGAGCTGTTAAGCTATGCTGCATGAAAAAGAAAAAAAAATGAATTATTTACAACAATGTCAGAGTGTTATGATGGTTTTAAAATATACATAACCCATGACTATGATTTCTGTCTCACAATGTTTATCCTTATCTATTATTATTCATATTTTCCATCATCTATTGCTGCTTGACCTCTTTGTTGTGCTAATTTTTGTGAAACAGTCATTTAAAAAAAAACAAAAAAACTTCTAACTCATTACATTTCTAAGGTGAACTCAGAAACAGTGATAAAGTCCAAGCTCGCAATATAAAATCTATTTTCGTGGAGATTGCACTAAACCTTGCGATTCCGTCTTTATTACTATATCATGTGTGGACAACTCAGTAAGTTTACCAATGCTGATGTGACTAAAATGATCAATTACCTTGAAGCTGACCCTATACATGAGACAACAATGCTGCTTTTGGTGTAATAATCAAAATAATTAAATGGTGGCAAAGTGCTAGAAACCTGCCTTAGAACTGCTTTTTTTTTTATTGGCATATATTATTCAACACAGTTTATGCGATTGACATTAACCTTTTTAATAGTATTTGCACTAGGATAGAAAAGTTCTGTTAGTGAAGTAGTGGTCATGGCTGTAAACCTCTAGTTAAAAAAGACACTTTAGGGGGGTGGAGCCTAGCAGCCAAGTCGACCAGTCGCATGCAGAGCAAGCTCCGCCAGCAAAGCTAATTTTCTGAGACAAAATCACCTTTTCATTACGAAAAACCCAGCATTATACTAGCAGAATATATGCTGCAACTGCATGTACTTTGTCCAGAAGAGTTTTGAAAGCCTGACATGAAGCCCGAAAGCAGCGCAACTCTGCGGCCTACCTGTTTGAGAGAGAGAAGCGGACGATCTCCCCGACGGACAGCATAAACACAATCACAGCTCCTGCCCCCCCCCGCCAGTGGGGGTTACCCTGGCACCAGCTATCCATCTATACGCACCTGGCACAGAGGCAACCAGTTCTTGCACCAGAACCAGAAATGGCGGATGTTACAATTTCACCCGCACCACAAGGCTTACTGGAGACGACTCTAATGCAACTCAACGCTATTTTTGAGGAATTCTGGCTGAAACTGAGTTGCAGACAGGCAGAGATGGAGGGGAGGAATGACAGCGGAGGCCCATCGCACCACTTACAAACTAAAGCTAAGAACCCTACATTGAGCCACGCACAGCAGATCAAATCTGCAAATATGAGCCGGAAAAGTACCAGGAAGAAGCCGCGAGCATTGGATGCTCGGATCCGCTCATGGTCATCCCGTGTCTGACATCGCATCCACAGGCGGGTCTCAAACCCTTGGAGGGACTATCATGCCAACACCAACATGCAGGACATTGCCTGTGCCATTGGCAACCGAAACAACGAGATCTGCGAAATGACTCTTGAGGTGGCATGGAGCCGGCGATGCGACCGGGAGTGGATGGCGGGGACACAGTCTCTGTTTGGGACTCTGATAGCAAGCATGGGGGTAGGGTAAAACCTACAAATAAGCCAGGTTGCATTGAGGGTATTATGCTTCTGTCTCTGCTCTTACTCTCAAACCTGTCATGTATATCCCAATCTGTGATAACGATCTCATGATACTCCATTTTGGCGCTAACCAGCTTTTTTCTATTTGATGGAGTATATGCTTTAATCTGGCTGGGGCGCTGGTTAAAAACCTTCCTGTTAGCTAAACATAGTGCTTAAGCTTGTTTTATTTTCATTTTCATAAGACCTATTTTTGTCTAAACTCTTGTCTCCTCGCTAAACAACATATCTCTAATACACAGTTAAGACATGGAGGCTTCGCCTGACATATAAAATGTGCACTAATCTACTTGCTGCATTCCTGTTTGCATAGCATGTTTAATAACATTTACCTTTCAGAAAGCTCCATCCATGTCTTGAGTATCTTAGTGGCAGCAAATATTCAGAGTTTTAGACACATTTGTAAAGCCTGATTCTTCCATATCATAAAATTGTGCAGAATTGTCAAATGCCATCATTGTTTTGTCATGTTTCTTGTCCTGCCTGCTCTCGCTGTTGTGGCATTGCATGCTAATCTTTTCTTGCACAGCAAAAATAAAAAATTCAAAAAATAAAAAGTGACACTTTGAACACCAATGCAACTTTAGCTTAACAAATCAGTTTTGGTGCATAGCGCATGCTCCCTACAGTCTCACTGCTAAATTCTCTATCATTTAGGAATGAAATCATTTATTATTCCTGACCCTATAGTGTTAAAACCACTATCTAGCCCCTTGGCCCCCTTTGCCTCCCTTAAGATAGTAAAATCCTACTTGTATTCAAGTCTGAAGCTGCTGCCTCTGCCTGTGAACTTCCTCTGACCTCTGACATCATCAGAAGTGGTAGCCTGATCCAATCACACTGCTTCCCCATAGGATTAGCTGAGACTGACAAGGAGGCAGATCAGGGGCAGAGCCAGCATGATTCAAACACAGCCCTGACCAATCAGCATCTCCTTATAGAGATGAATGAATCAATGAATCTCTATGTGGAAAGTTCAGTGTCTGCATGCAGAGGGAGGAGATACTGAGTGTTTGGATGCATTTTAGGCAGCCATGACCCAGGAAGGATCTCTAACAGCCATCTGAGGAGTGGCTAGTGAAGTTATCACTAGGCTGTAATATAAACACTGCATTTGCTCTGAAAAGACAGTGTTTACAGCAAAATACCTGAAGGTAATGATTCTACTCAGCAGAACAAATTCAATAAGCTGTAGTTGTTCTGGTGACTATAGTGTAACTTTAATTCGTTAAGTTGTTTTTGGTGCTTAAAGTATCTCTTTGAATTAATTAATCTGATAAGGGCATATGAGTTTAGTCATGCATGCATACCTTGTAAATATAGAGACTTCTGACAATCAGAAGAGGAGGTGACATCCCAGTTTATATACACGTGTAAAAGAATCTGGATTTAATCAAACTATCCACAGTTCTCTTAGAGGCATACAATATGCAATACTAAGCAATGCAAATGAAATGTAACCAATAACATCACTATAAACTCCGGGAATAATTTTCAACTTGAAGAAAAAAGTTTTCTGAGAAAACTGTTATCTTCCTCTGGATCTCTGCATGTAGACTAAAGATGAAGCCAATCTTATTCTCCTAGACTATAAAAGTAGCTTCAATGTACAACATTGTATTGTTCTTGATGTCTAGCTGTCACGCAGACCAATAGAGAGAAAAGTACAGGTAACATAGCACTTTGCATATCCCTTTATTTTACAAATTTATGCTAAAAAAATAGACATTATTGTTTTATTCTACCGTCATTTTTAGAAGCTTATCTATTTTTTTGTCACACATATTGAAGGTGACACAAATGATACTGTTGCTTCTATACTAATACATGTAGATTATTTGTGATATATTGCAAGATAAAGATCCCACTCAATCTGTATATTTTGTTTTTCTTCCAACAATTCAAACAGTGTAAATTTACATATTTTAACTTTATATACCCCTGGATAGCAATCTATAAATTAAATTATTAGTTTACTCTACATTTATGTACCTGCTTTGCATGCCATATTTCAATTTAATGCTATGCCAATGTTTTTCAAACAAAAGGTTAATGGTGGTAAAGGGATTAACATCTAAACCATCTCTGTATCTAAACTAAAACATTTATAAAGTAAGATATACATGCAAAAAAACCGCAGTGTGCGTAATACAGTAGTCCATCTTCAGTCCATTGTATTACCTTTATTTGTAATGTGTGTATGCACTTGTTTGTGCTTTTGAAAAATCATAGACAATCCTTAGCACCATTTTTTTTAAATGTTGAAAACCAGGCCAAAATCAAATATATTGAACCATAACATGTACATAAGAAATCGTTATATACAAACATACTCCTGCCAGAAAAATACATTTGGATAAAGGGAGTGCTGCAGCAGCAGTAGAATTGTAACCACTTAAGGATCAAATGATGGTCCATGCCATCATGAAGTGCATGGTCCATGCCATCATGCAGTAAAGGTATCAGCAGGGGTTTAATCCCTACTGCTATAATTTGATACCTGGGGGTCCCCTCTGTCAGCTGGGGGCACGGTTATTGGCCCCAGACTGACAGATGAGCTTTTAACAGTGTTTAATGTTAGAGCTGCTTATAGCCCTTTAAATAGTGCCACTATATTTCTATGCATACCTGCAAAGTAAAAAAGAAAGTTGTTTTTAAACTTGTATGTTTATGTTTTTATGCAAAGGATAGACTCCAGTGAATGGGTTCTTTAGTTATAATTTCACTTCTCTAGTACATGAATGTAATTTCTTCATATTTGGCAGCTACTTACAAGCTGCTCTTAAGCACCAGCATCTCTATGCTATTGCACTTTAATTAGTATTGGCACTTTAAGTAATGTATTACACTTTAATCATTACCCTGCACTTTAACAATTATTAGTCATCACGGCACATAGAGGCGGAGTCTCTTGACGCACATGCACACATTGCACTGAGGAACGCAGGTGGCGGCACTCACTTCACCTGGGGTAAGTCCATTATTTTGATTATTTGTGTATAAATGTGAATGTTGTAGAGATTGTCAGCATCTTTTAATCCTGAAAAAAATCCCAAACGGGGACTGAAACGTCGATAAACTTTACCTTTTATAATTACAAAAGACCGTGAGTGCAAGCCTCTGCATTACTAGTGTACATATATTTTAGGATTATTTCTCATTCTCTAACCTCTATACTTCTTGTTATGTCACACACAGCCACATTTCCTGGACATAGTATTAACAAACATAGCAGAAAGTGACGCATCGCGACTGATGTGATGTAATTTTTAGCAGCCACATCGCTGCGAATTTTATAATTTCCAACAGAAAGGAGTTGGGTAAACCCCTGCAATACGAAGTATGGGCATGTTGCACAAAGAAGACAACTATTTTTTTCTTATTGTTGCCCTAACAAGATAACCAATTAACATGGCACAATCATTTAATTATGGACATCTGGACCTGGACCTTAATCGTTTCAACTGGTGAAGCATTGGAAAAGGAAACGTGTTTTGGCTGGATTATTGGCTAGACTATTACTACAAGTATTCTGATTAGTGAAACTGCTTCTTTTGGAATATTGTTAAATTTTATTTGTATTTTTATGAATTTATTGTTTTATATTTGAACCCACTTAATTTTTTGTTTTGCATTTATGTTTTTGTTTTTATTGGCTATATAATAAATATCCATTTAGCATTTTAAAGGAATTCTGGTAGTCCAGCTTATATTCTTTTGCATACAGGTTCCAGATTATCGTTTGGGGCAGTGTCCCCCCATAAATTGAAACAACAAAGAAAGTGGTATGTCTACAGAAATGATACTTGCTCTAAACACCAGTGAGGTATCCCCTACACCTTCACGTTGAGTCACATATAACACACACAGAGAAAATTGGTGGAGCAAGAAATAGTAAATAAAGATATACTTCCCTCTCTTCTTACTGTCTCACTGTAAAGATAGAGAGGTACAAAATAGTGCAGATATCTCTATATACAATATATCAAATGAATATAAATTGAGCACACTCACAATGAAAGAGCCATATAATAAACCTGGCTCTGGTATGAATCTCCTTGGGATCTTTATTGGGTCATCCCCAAACCTCTTTGGTGGTGCTTGATGTGTTGTCCTCCTTCCAATAATAGGCAGTGGAGATATAGTAAATTCCAAGGTAAATTTATTAAAAAATAAAAATGGATAAAAAAAAATACAAATAAAGTCTACTAATGTCCAATTTGTTGCCAAAATGTGGCTTCTTCAGTTGGCGTGGATGCTGTTGTAATGTCCTCAACTTTCTTAAATGCTGTGCTGTTTCAATTTTCGAGGTTGTTTTCGTCCGGTGGAAGGCATCTATGCGTTCCACCACCTACTTCCGGGTTTCTTACGTCATGTCCGGATTGTCCGCGTCATATCCGGTTTCATCTAATGGTGTCGGACACAGCCTCAGTGGAACGCAATGCATTCCAATATCATTCAGGATAAATATACTAGTCCCAAATCAGTCCTTATAAGGTATATGTAAGCGAAGCAACTATTTTTAAAAACCAATTTTCGAAATATATAATTTTACACATATAACAATGACTATATCACAACAGTTGTTTTTTTATAAAACCAATTCTTAAAATAGATTGTTTATATATATTGCAATAAAAATAATTTACAATAAAAAATATATATATATAAAAAAAAATACAAAAATGCTTTGTAACATATGAAATCTGTCTTAATTCATTCTTGTTTAAGGAAGAA